GACTTAGCAGTATTAGTGATCTCAGTGTGAACAGCTCCAGTGGAATGGTGTGGGGGAGAATCCATATTGCAGTGGGCTGGAGCATGAATGTCAATGAGTCATCAGAGACTGGACTGTATCTACTATTTCAAAAAATCCATCTGATTAGGGAAGATGAGAGAGGAGGGGAAGATATAAAGCCATTTCTGAGCGGCAAAAGAAAGAAAATACCATGAATCCTAAATTATATCAATGAATCCTAAATTATATGAATACTTGGGATTCAGAGTATAGTTGAGAGTATTGGTCTTAAGAGGAGGGGTGTCTCTCTTATTGTGACAGATATTATGTCATTACACACTCATTCCTGTTTTTAAAAAAGTACACCTAAATAATATGGGGCCAGTAGAGATGGAAAGGAGGAGCCACGTATGAGTGTGATACACAGCAGATGAATTAGAGCAAGTTTCTGATTAGATGTTGGTACTTAAGAAATGAGCAGCCAGGGTTGACTGCAGAATATCTGGTCTGGATGCCTTGGGAATTCAGGAGGAAAACAGACTTAGTGGGATGATAATGGTAAAACTAAGTTGTGATTCTGAAATTCAGCTGGATATGAAAATATAAATAAGATACAGGTTGGTGATACCTAGTCTTCTAGGCTGCCAGCGTCATGAGATAATATACAATGTCTCCCTAGCTGACCTTCCTCAGAAGCCAGCACAGTGCCAGGCGCAGAGTAGAGAATGTGGTCTCTTAGGTAAGTGTAGAATGGGAGCACCATCATCTAGGAATCTTTGAAGGAGCCTGAGAGGATCACTCGAAGTTTGGCTGTTGCAAAGTCCTTCTGAGAAGCGAGTTTTAAGACAAAGTAAATGGCCTGCATAGTTGAATTTAGCAAAAAGGTCAATGAAGGTAAAGAATATATGTGCTTGTCAGAGAAGACAATTTAAAGCCTTCTCAGTAAGGACAATTTCAATTTCATAAAACCAGATTGCAATAAATTAAGGAGGGAACAGAAATTAAAGAAAAAAGAGACAGAGAGTGGACTTCTCTTACAAAAAATGTTAACCAATACCTTTTAGTGTGAAACACAAGGTATTAGAAGATTATAGAATTTGTCCCTGAAATTTTATATCTCATTTTAGAAGTTTACTGAATTGAGAGGTACAAACTTATAAATTATAATGAGGAAATGGCTTATAGTTTAGAAGATATTTAACAAATAAAGAAATGTGTTTTCCTAAAGAAGAAAAAAATCTTCTTTTGAAAGTAAAATGAAAACTAAAATCAAATAATGGGCAGAAGTAAATATTTGCACCAGTGATAACAGATAAAGGATCACAAGTAGTCAATTGAAAACAAAAACATAAATTCAGTACTAAGATTCAGTAGGTTATTGGGGAGAACAGAAAGATATTTTATACTATATGACCTATAATTAATAAATAATCATATTAAATATGCAAAATTTCAGTAGCCACAAAGACATGTAAACTAGATAATATCATATGATATTTTTGTCAAAATATCAACAACTTTAAATACGTAATATTATAATGTTGACCAGGGGCTCGGTGAATTGAGAAACCTCATATAGTTATGTGGTAAATTGATTAAAGCTTTTAAAACTATTTAATAATATAGATTATTTTGAGTTCTTCAAAATATTGATAGTTTTAGACAAGTCATTAATTCCACCTGATCAAATAAATTAACTAAATAGGATAATTACAAACTTATGTAACAAATTTGTACATCATAGTGTAAAACCACTAATAGTGTGTTCAGAGTGAGATTTACATTTCATGGAATACATTTGTTACAGTACTAACTGAAAGGTAGGCTGTATATATACAAATAACAAACAAAGCAATTTTATGAGAAAACTACAAGGAAATGCCTTAAAAATATTATCCAGTGGTTGTTTTTGGATAGTGGGATTTTTGTGGATTTTCTTTTATTTTTAATTCTTTTATTTATTTCTTAAAGTGTCAATAGTGAGACTACATTATTTTTATAATTTAAAAGTTTAACAATTTGTTTAAATAAAAGCAATCAAATTTGTGTTTTGAAATAAAGGGGCCTATATAGACAGTAGTAATTAGGGGAGAGCAGCAATCAAAGGAAGACATTTTTCTTAGGCTGATGATACAAGAGGTTAGTGAAGCAAGTCCCAGAGAAGTAGGATAGCACAGTAGATAAGGGTCTCACTTTCTTCAGGCAAAATGATGCTTCTATAAACTGAAAGGAAATACTTATTGGGCAGCCTGGCTAAATTAGAACTTTGTTAAGTAACCCAGGTCACTACTATTTTTCGTACCCCAGTTGCAAAAAAACAGGACTTCTTCTGCAAGTTTCAATGAGTAAACCTTAGTTTTTTCTTCTCAGTGGCAGAAGTGGTCCTGAAATGGCTTAGCCAAATCACTTCCTGCAGCTTCTGAATTGCAGTATCTTTGAGTTCATTCAGCCAACTTCATCACTGTGTTTGTTCTGTTTCTAACACTGAGCTGTGCCAATCTACCAATCTATTCCTTAGGGTTAAAATGGTTCATTTGAATGGGACCCTTACAGTGAAATGTCTCATCTTTACTTGGGAATAGTTGTCTAGAATCTTGGTTGAGTTCTGATGTAAAAACCGCTTAATATGTATAGGGTGTTATTGCACAGCTGAGGAACACTTTCCAAAATGACTACTTAAAAAAGTGACTATCAGTATGTGTCACTGTTTTTAAAAGCAGGAAGCCATAGATAATTCTTATTTTTAACTAAAAGTACACTTGTTACAAAAGGATTCTCTGAATAATAAGAATAAGGTTACAGCTGTGGACTGGAGTCCCCACTATTCTCTGTCACTGCACTCATGGTTCCAAATCTGACCTGGTCACCCAAGAAAAGCATAGAAAAGGCTGGGACTCTGCTGGAGAAGAGACTTAATGCTGTGCTCACTGGGTGTGGTAACACCAAGTCTTTCCTCTGTCTGAGTCTCTTTTATAGTTTCTGTACATCTACCTATAAGGCCATTTACCAAAATGGTGACAGGTCATGGATTTAGTGGTTAGCCCTTGTATGTAAAGTATATGTGTCTCCAATATATCAAATATGGGTGGGTTAGTTTCAGCTCCGGATGCAAGGGTGTGGCCATTTTGGAAACGTAAGATCCATGAGTACTAAGAGGTTTGAGAAATGAACATTCTGATCTTTAGCTGATGATCTATGGCAAAAGAATAGTTCAAATTAATAAATTGACAGTTTAAATAACAGATTTTTAATTATAGCATTCTTGTGAGTTTGATTACCATGAGTTAGTTTTCAAGAGGTATATTTCTCTGATTTACTGTCAATCAGTTGTCTAAAACTATTAAGCCCCCAAAACTGTTATGGCACCTGAAAAAGAAACCAGCCCCCAAAATCATATTCTTGGATAAAAGCTCTAAAACAACAGATCTTCAGTGTAACTCTGAAATGCATAGCATTAATGTAGCAGCAATGTCTATAATTAAAAAAATACAACTATATATACATATATATATTAAAATTTACATTTGCATGTAAGGGTTGGAGTCTTCTTTTTTAACTATTTTATTTTTTATGCTTGTTACCTTGGTATTCATACCTAGTATAATTTATCATCTTCATATTTTCCATAAACACTTTTATTGTTATGTTCCCCACCCCTCTTTTTGAAATAAGTATCCTATATAATAAAAGGCTAATATGCAAATTGACTGAGTGGCGGAATGACTGGTCACTATAACGCGCACTGACCACCAGGGGGCAGACGCTCAATGCAGGGGGAGTGCCGCTCAGCCAGAAGCTGGACTCATGGCTGGCGAGCGCAGTGGTGGTGGTAGGAGCCTCTCCTACCTCTGCGGCAGTGCTAAGGATGTCCAATGGACAGCTTCGGCCCACTTCCTGTGGGGAGCAGGCCTAAGCCATCCGTCAGACATCCCCTGAGGGCTCCTGGACTGTGAGAGGGCACAGGCCGTGCTGAGGGACCCCACCTGAATGCACAAATTTTGTGCACCGGGCCTCTAGTTATGGCATAAGCCATATAATCCTGATAGAAATTGTATTCCCAACTTAAAATATTATATTACCTTACACAAACCAAGCTTAGTTTTAAATAAAATTAAAATTCTGTTTTAAATATCTTCATTATATTTATAAATTCTGCATATGCATAAAACTAGTATGAGAACAATTGGTCTTTAAAATAAGCCTAAAAGGCCGAACCGGTTTGGCTCAGTGGATAGAGCATCGGCCTGCGGACTCAAGGATCCCAGGTTCGATTCCGGTCAAGGGCATGTACCCTGGTTGCGGGCACATCCCCAGTGGGGGGTGTGCAGGAGGCAGCTGATCGATCTCTCTCATCGATGTTTCTAACTCTCTATCCCTCTCCTTTCTTCTCTGTAAAAAATCAATAAAATATATTTTTTAAAAATAAAAATAAAAATAAAATAAAATAAAATAAGCCTAAAAGGACATCATAGTGCATAGATAGATTTTTTTATATTAGAACTAGAGTCCCAGTACAGGTAGGGTCCCTAACAGCTGCTGGCTGCCAGCCGGGGCCTTCCTTTGTTCCGCGCCACCCCCTGGTGGTCAGTGCACGTCATAGCGAGTGAAAGAACTCCTGGTTGGTTGAACTCCAGAGGGGACAGTTTGCATATTAGGCTTTTATATATATATAGATAGATTCTACTGTCAACCAAAAATAATTATTTGAAATTTCTAATTATAAGAATAACAAAACAACTCTTAAAAAATATTGGTTGCATTAAGGCATTTTCTTTATTTTTCAAAGTACGTGGGTTTGAAACTCAAGCAGGAAAAGTTACTTTGTGACTGACTTTTTTCTTACAGATGATTTAGATCCCATGCATTATGTTATTTCCCCCCTTTCTTATGATAAAGTTTTTACCCTAACTGAACTGTTTGGACCAAATTTGATCCCTTTAAATAACAAATAAAATGTCCATATTCCTTTCTCAGTTAAGGAAGAAGAATTTATCTGCGAGGATACCAAGGCACATGAAAAATTAGAAAGGAGTAAGGAATATATATATCAGTGGCTTCACACACAGGTTGGAGTTCATGAAACAACTAGTTCCAGAGATTTGAAATGGTAAGGTCATTTCCCTTAAATTAGATTTTTGTATTGTAAACACATCTTGAAAAGTTAAACCTAGGTTAACTGTGCTAAAACAAACATGACTTATAGCCAAAGGCCAATATACCATGAAGCCAGGTTATAAAATGGCCTCTTATATAAAATAGACTTAATCACTCTTTATATTTTTCATTCTAAAATGTTTAAGAAACTCTTTCTGTAAATGCTTAATAACAACAGATGAACTGCACAAATGATTCTGCTTTTTAAAGTAAATGCATAGTATATATTAACTGTTGATAAATGTTATATGTAGTACAAATTGTATTTTATTTTGTGTTATTTTTGTTATCATTTATGTTTGGCAATTAAAATTATAATTCTACCCTGATGCTGACACTTTACATGTCATATAACTAATTTTCAATGATGTCCCAAGGCTCAGCTTCCTCTCCTTTATAGTGAGATTATAATGTTTTATCTATCTCACAGAATAGAGGTGAGCTCACAAGGTTGAAGATATTAAATTTTTTATTTAGCAATAAACAGGGTCAATTAATTATATATATATATATATATATATATATATATATATATATATATATATATATATATATATTATTTCGCGAGGGCTGCCATAACAAAATACCAGAGATTGGGTAGGTTAAACAGCAAGGATTTGTTTACTCACAGTTCAAGAAATTACAAACCCCAGGTCAAGGAGTCAGCAAGCTTGATTTCTTTGGAGGTCTCTCTCCTTGGCTTGCAGATGGCTCCCTTCTCATTGTGTCCTCACATGATCATCCCTCATCTGTGTTGTCTATATTCTAATCTCTTCTTATAAAGACACCAGTCATACTGGATTTGGGCCCAACCATGTGACTTCATTTTACCTTCATTCCCTCACCCTACAACCAAATACAGTAAAATTCTGAGGTATTGAGGGTTAGGACTTCAATATATGAATTTTATAGGAACAAAATCCAGCCAATAACAATATAAAACATATATATATATATACACACACACACACACACACACATAGCCACTGAATCTAAGTTTTAAGGAAATAAAAGCCTGGAGATAACATTTTGACATAAATTTTCAAGATTTTCATTGTAGCCACTTATATGCACAGAAAAGTAAAATATATGTTATTTTAAGCATTTATTAAATGTGTAAACCAATATGGAATGTAAATGTAGATGACACTTTAGAAACATTTCCAGGCATTTTGGGTAATAACTATTTAAATGAGTAACAAACTAACAAACAAAATCCTACAATTAGTGTAATTCATAAGATGAAATCCTTAGAACTATAAACAAATGTAGTATAACCCCATGACTTGCCATCTACATTAACCAGATATAAGAGGTCTTTCAGAGATTTTAAAGCATTAGCAGAGATAATGTGAAAATTTTAAAAACTTATTCAGGATGTAGTTTAGATAAGCTCACACATTTAACAATATCCCTTACTCCTAAACAAGTTATATTTAAATATATTATACAACAGGTAATTATTTATGGATATTCTCTTTTGAAATATAATATGTAAAGGTATAGGCAGTAACATTTTAAGAAATACTATTTTCAAGAATGGAAGTGGGTTGTTTTTTTCCAGAGACAGTGGAAGGGAAGGGGAGAAAAAGAGGGGCACCGAGAAACATCATGTGAGAGAGACACATCAACTGGTTGCCTCTCACAGGCTCCCCTACTGGGGTAGGGGTGGGGGAGTGAACCACAATTGGAAATGTGCCCTTGATCAGGAATCGAACCTGAGACCTTCTGGTGCACAGGCCAACACTCTAACACTGACCAGGGCAAGAATGGAAGTTCTTGAAAATCCAAATGCTCTACTTTTAAACAGAAGTTAATTATGAGCAGTAGAATAATGTATTAAACCACAAAAAATATTTTAAAAATAGGAAGCTTTGCCTTAATCATAAAATAAGAAAGATATGTAGGTAAATAAGTATTTATATTTTTTAATAATTTTTTAGCTATCATTCTTGTTTCTTTCATATTTTTATTATATGTGTTTATGTTTAGCAAAGAAAGGTAGCATTAAAGTGTTACTTAGAAATTTTATGTCAAATTTAATTTTATTAATGACTACGGAAAAACGTAAATTTGTATATACCTTTGCATGTAACCCCTATTTAAGAAAACTATTGTTAGCATTTTTTAAATTACTAATTAGTCCCAAACCTTTAATTGGGCATTTTTTTCATATTCTTTCTCTATATTTATGTAATAATATTATTTCTGTTTTTTGTCACTGCAGCAATCATTTCTTGCCTGAGTTAGATCCAAATGTACTTAATGGTGGAAGAGTTCAGCTTGTGGTAAGAAATGTGTTTAAAGATACAGAAAAGTTGTAGACACAAGTACTTAACAAATGCACTTTAAAATATGTCCATATGTTAGTATAAATTATGAAAATCTCAACTGTGTTTATTTAAGATAATATCAAAATACTATGTACTGGGATAGTAACATTTTCTCCACTTCTAGTATAACATTAAAATGTATTACTCTTGCCCAACTGGTGCACCTCAGTGGTTGAGCATAGACCTATGAACCAGAAGGTCATGGTTCAATTCCAGGTCAGGCCATATGCCCTGGTTGTGGGCTCAATCTCTAGTGTGGGGTGTGCAGGAGGCAGCCAACCAATGATTCTCTCTTATCATTGATGTTTCTATCTCTTTCTCCTTCTTCCTCTCTGAAATCAATAAAAGAGTAATAAATGTATTACTCTAGAATATTAATTCTACATGGTAGATTGTAAAATGTTAACATGTTACAGTATTTAAAATAAAATTACTCTAACAGGAATTTGCTTAATAAAAATATTTTTGAATATTCAAAGAATAGAATACTTGAGTGAAACAGCAAAGTACCCTCACAACTCATAAAATTAAACCAGATAAAAATTAACAAGTAATTGGGAATTCACCCACTCTAAGTAATCCTATCTAATAATAGCCAAACATGGTAATTGACCATACCTTCGCTACGCCTCCCATTGACTAATCAGCGAGATATGCAAATTAACTGCCAACAAAGATGGCGGCTACCACCAGCGCGAGCCACCATCCAGGCCCCCCGTGGGCGACGCCAGAAGCTGCCTGCCTGCCGCCCGGGACCGGATCGGTCTAGGGCTGCTGGCAGGCCCCGGAAGCCCCAGAAGCCACCAGATATGACAGTAACTCTATCAGTAAGCACTCTGAAAGTCAGTGGCATAAATGCACCAATTAAAAGACAGATTATGAGGGTGAATCAAAAACAAAACCCACTTTAAATATAAAGACACATATAGATTAAAAGTAAATGAATTAAGCTGCAGCCTTTTTTTGCTCAGTGGATAGAGCATTAGCCCATGGAGTGAAGGCTCCCAGGTTTGATTCCAGTCAAGGGCATGTACCTCAGTTGCTGACTTGATCCCCAGTCCCTATCAGAGCATGTGCAGGAGGCAACCAATCAATGTGTCTCTCCCTTTCCCTTCACTCTCTCTAAAATTCAATGGAAATATATCCTTGGGTGAAGATTAACAAAAACAAAGTAAATGAATTAAGTAACATTAAAGAGATTATAAGAAAAATATATTCCAAATTTTGTTAGTTGTATAATGGTTATGTTTAAATTATTAACACCTAAGAAATTGGGTGAAGGGTACATATAATATGCTGTAGTATTTTATAGTTTTTTTTACATGTATGAGATTATTTCAAATTAAAATATTAAAACATTAAAAATTAATAAAATATTAATTGAAATGTATCTGCATTACATGAAAAATCTTCTAATTGCTTCTAGCATAATTTATTAAATTGTGCTAAAATTTACAAGGGTTCAATTAAAAAATATCTTAATTCTAAATGATATAATAGAAAATATATAATAGTGCAGTTATAAGCACTTATCTGAAAATAAAAATTTAAAGAAGTGAATTTAAAGAAGGGATTAGCCAAAGAAAATATATGCACAACCCATGGACACAGACAACAGTATGCTGATGGCCAGAGAGAAGTGGGGGGCAAGAGCTGGGTAGAGGGGGAAAAGGGGGGGTATAGGGACATCCTATATCCTATCTAATAAAAGAGAAACATGGTAATTAGCCGTACATCCGCTACCCTTCCCATTGGCTAATCAGGGCGATATGCAAATTAACTGCAAGCCAAGATGGCCTCCAGCAGCCAGGCACTGAAGCGAACAGGGAGGCTTGCCTGCTCCAGTGACGGCAGAACTCCAACGTTCCCCGCCTGACTTGC